CTACTATTACAGAATAGGACGGAATTGGTCGTGTTACAAATGAATGCGCGTGATTACAGGTTGCTACCTGCTTGCCGCGTACTGGTAACTGGGCCGGGGCGCAATTTCCATGGCGTGACGCAAACTGATAATAGAACGTCATACAAGCTACCGCGAATTCAGGCGAAATCTGCGACGATAATGGGACGCGCCGTGCGAGGTTTCGTTCGGAAAGGGTCGGGTACAGGTGTCGTTTTACGTGCGCACCATTACGACGTGAAAAAATTAATCGGAACGCGTTTGTCGGAATAGCTGTCGCGTGCCCAACTAATCTTTAGTATCGATGGGCGAGCCGGGATGATCGACACGGGGCAATAACAAAGTGAACCATTTGTCGAGTGGCTCACTGGATACTCTCGATTATATCGAATGAACACGGTAAAATGTGTTTTTGAGAGAGGGATCGTTTAAAATAAACTTTATATCTATTTCGAAAATATCGGTACTATTTCACGCTATACATAAATTGATATAATATTTAAATACTAACTGATTCTAAAATCGATCGATTTTTATCGATCAATTTTATCGATCAATCACGCCGATTTAGTTGATTACGTCGAATCGCGTTCGACGTAAACTTCGAACGAGTTCGTTCAGCGCGAATAAGTAACGAGTACCATTTGTTCACTACTCGAACGGCCTTGCATTTGTTCGCGAGGTCGAACTCGAAGTTACGAGATGTGCGTGCCAACTCGCCATGTGTATTATCAACCGCAATCGTCACGAGCGAACAGCTGTCCGAGAGCTACTCTTGGGTGCTCCTCAGAGCGTGGACATGACTGATATGCAAAAACGTATCAATACACGTAGAAGAAACACGATAAGATAATGAAACGCGTATTTAAAGATGGAATTGAATAGGATACGACCGGTTTTTTAAAATTAGTTTTATGCACGGTTTAATTTCGCGATTTAGTCTTTCCGCGCGCAAACCGGTGGATAATAAAAATTGAGAAAGAAAGTTTTTCGATTTAACATCGTTAAAAATTCCGTCGTTATACCTGGAAGTTAGCCTCGTCCTTTCCAATCTCGACCGGATATAGGTAATGACGAGAGAGGAAACGATGGCAACGGCGGCGTAGCTCGGAGAAGGAATTCTAGTTACAACTTCGCCGTGAAACACGGTTTCCAAATTGAAAATCACATGAATTTCTTTATACCATTCCACGAAGTATTTCTGCTGTCACGTTTAAAGTTAAAGAATATGTATATGAGTTTCTTTATTTCTTACTTACGAAAATCTCGTTAAATATGAACATTCAGTGACAGTGCATACCATGCTAGGAAAAATGTATTTACAAAATTTGTCTGAAAATTTGTGGATGGAGCAATGTATATACGATCAACGGTAAAAAGTGAAATGAATAACCAGAAAGGGGGTGCTGCTTTAAAGTGAGGTGGTTCTATGCATTTGAGAGTTCAACCAGGGTCTCCAGAGTCTCCGAAACCAAAGAGACCCGGTTCGAGGAGCACTCTACGGTTTCCGACGGAGTGATCTTAAAGGTCCTCGCCCGATTGGATGAAAATAAAAGGTGGACACAACTGCCAATACACTTAACTTGGCCTCGCCGTTGTTTGTTTCCAGTATCTTTCTAAATAGGTGGGAGAGGGACATAGGAATCTGGGTGTACGTGTGCAGTGGCGACGGTCTGGAGAAAGATGGAGAGAACTGTGGAGTGTAAACGAGAGATAGATAAGGAGAAAGAGAGAGGGAGAGAAGGTTGGGAACAATTCCGTGATAATAAGATAGGAGCCGGTTCGTGCGATCTAAGCCAGCAGCTAAAAGGCTCGATTCGTAAAGTGTGGCTGGAGAAGGATAAGATGTGTTTTATGGAAGGAACTTGGCTATCAACTTCTCTATTGCTTTCTCTTTTTTTACGGTCTTGTCGATGAAGCGCAAACATTCCTAGTTCGAATTGCCTATATCGTTCTAATTAACTAGCATAACAAATTCCCCAGAGATTTACAAGTTGTTCAATATTATAATTTTTTAAACAATAAGTACATCGGGAGGATGCAACAAAATTTATGGTATTGGTAAATTAAAGAAGGACTAAACTGATTCAAAGGCTGACCCATGGATCTTGTCAGCCTAATTTCTCGAGTGCCTTCGGCGCAGTAAATCTACAAGCAGGACATAAAGATATATCGTCCCGAGTTTCTTCCCTATCCGCGCCAAACTGGCTATTTTCAGTTTGCCCCAAAAGGCTGTTTTTCATTTCCCAAATGGTCCGACGTTTATTCAATTGCATTCTATTTCTATTTCTCTAATAAAATCCAAGAGGAAAGTAAAATGTACGGAGCCCGGCGGAGGTACGTATGCCGTTAAAAATTCAATGTTAGCAACGATTAATTTACCACGAAGACGTCTTGGAAAAATTACCCTTCAATTCTTTTTGGCCAGCGTTCATCCTGTCCGCCCCGCGGTGTTCCTCTAGGTCTCCTTTGCCCTTAAAACGAAATTCTCCTTTATACGTTGTCGTCACGATGGCAGCTATCATGCGCAGCAGGGTTACAATTTATTAACAGCCCTTGTGTGCGCCGGAAATTCGCGAGACACCAGTTTCAAAGTGGCACCCGACGCTCGGTGAATCATGCGGAGCAAAGAGAATGAACAGAGGGCGAAACGGAGAGACACGGAGAAAGAGAGAGAGATGGGGGGGGGGGACGAGTGCGGGCACAGGAAGAGAGTGAGAGACAAAGGGGAAAGGAAAGAGAGAGGCAGAGAGGGATTAGTATCGACAGGAGTAAGGTGAAACACGTTGGAAAGGGCCTGCAAGGAAAGGGTGCACAGTGGTGGTCGTGTTAAGAGCAGGATTGACGGTAGGGAGGAAAAGGGAGGCACAGGGGGGGGAGGGGTGAAGTAGACGGACGGACTGACGGACACTGGATCCCCGACAAATGGATTAAGCGCAAATTGCTAAACTCTGTTTAATTTGGCCAAATGAATTTTGTTCCGCCAGCCCTCTCTCGTTTTCCTCGTCTCTCTCCCTTACTTTCAAGAGTTACCTGTCTCCCTTGCTCTTTCGTTGCCAAGTCAGCGGTGGAAGCTCGTGTCTCGAACATTTGGCCCGAAAGCTTGTTTCCTTACGCGAAGCAGGATGCACCTTCCGATTTTCGGAAGTGAGCTTCGCGCATGGATTCTTTTGCGGTTGAGGACAGATTTTAACGATACGGAGTATTAGATTTGGCTCCTTGCATCGAGTTGGACATTATTTTAGGGAATGCGAAGCAAACATTTTTCTTTTTAAAATGATTATCTTTTTATTCAAATAATTAAATATTTCTTGCAATAAACACATATAATCATTTAACAATCCCCGTGTTTTGTGAATTGAAGGGTTAATACTTGAAGTTATATACACAATCCGCAGTCCACCGTATAATCCATCTTAACTTTCAATTGGGAGATTTTTCTGAAAAAACATTCGTGGAAAATATTTATAACACCGGGAACTCCGCGAATCGAATTTTTTTTTGTCCAGGAATAGTCGGATTAAATGTCGGAAAACAAATGATTCCGGAGCAGGAGAGATGAGACAGGTAGGAGAGTCACGACCGCAGTTTCGTTTCGCGGAAATGTCGAAACACGTCAAAAGCCTGGGACGGCCGGTTTAACCAGGGTCCATATTATTAAGGCAACTTCGCAATCGGATTACGCGCAACATTATCCCCTATTCAGACGGTCCGTTTGTGCTGTTGGAAATCATCACCTTCAAATACGTGCCTAAATCAAGCCAGTAGAGATTATGTCTTGCGTTTAGAATACGCTATCATGGTTCTCTCCTGCCATCCTGCCGGGCATCGACAAACGCGTGAGCCCGCGTCCTCCGTAATGCATACGGATACGGATATGTGCGAACGTACGATTATTCTAAAACGGTCGTGTCTCATTGTTTGCATGTAAGCGGTGAAAATATCGATAATGAAATGCGAGCTGCCTCGCAAACATTAAATGTAAGGCAAACAAAAACTATTCGATTTCTGTACTGGGAATTAGAATCGTCCGACAATGACTATTATTTTTACCATTCACATATTACAAAAGTTCAATATAAAAATGTATCTTGATAACTACAATTTATTCTCTTAACAAATAATCCTTCTAAACGGATAATCGATTGAAGAACATGAAAAGAAACGTGAATTCTTTATTAGTTTGATGTTGGCAAATTTTACACAATAATTTCGTCCGTTTTGACGAGATATTTCGAATTCGTGGTTTCAGCACGCTTTAAATTCATCAGCTTGCGGTTTAAATAAATGCCGCGGCGAATGCACACGCGTAGGCGTGTATATCCGTAGTATAATCCAGGAATCTAAACTGTATGCAAGCTCACCGCGAAATTAATGTAAATTCTATTACACGCGAAATAAGTTGGAAACTGTTCGTCCCGTATCTTAATTCTGTAAGCCCTCTAGTTTTCTAATATCGCTAAACTCCACTTTACTACTGTTGCCGGAAATATGTCTCGCGCTACGCGAACGCAGCGTTTCAATTCGTTTTAGTTTATCAGACATTGTTCTTAGTACCGTTGTTTCGCTGCTGCATAAATCGGAATGGGACATGCAATTTTAGTTAATGAATTCTAACGTTCGTAAAGAAAAATGAGTCTTATCATAGCGTTGTTCCGTTTATCAGGAAATGTCCTAGAAAATAACCGGATCCATAACGTACTGTCATTAACTTCATAGTAATTATTTCTTATGACCGGATTCCCTCCTTTGTTCTACGTCCTTCGAGCGTTATAAACAGCCATTCACAGGAGTGTAATAATAAAATTCTTAATGGGGTATATTGAAATGAGTATCAAACAACAACAGAATTTATCAGGAATTAAAAGTAATCTTTTTATTTATCTTATCACATTTATATCAGTGTTAAACAACGTGAGATCTTGTCTGTGTTGAACGACGTGACGTCGACAGGAAAATTAAGTGTATACTGTGAGCTCGTTAATATCACACACGGACACGCGCAAGTATGTACAGACGAACTTTGTATCATTACGTCGGAAGCACGAGAACGCCGAGAAGCCACGACTATGCTATCCGGATTGCATCTGTGAGTGTTATTACCGAAATAATTCAACTAATAACTACGTAACCTGCGTTACATTCGTCGAAGTAATTTCCTAATTAACCATCTCTATTGTCGAGCAATTAGCTCGCCTCGCGAATTAACTCGATTGTTAAACAAAATTCTATTGCGCAGTTCTGATCGCTCAATCCGTATCGACTAGCGCCAGATCGTTTCGTTACGTAACTTAGAAAGATGTTTTCGTGTTTGCAGCCACCGGCGGTAGGCGTGTTTCCATTTAAAAAACATTTCAAGATAAACACGTACATCTGACTTTGATTGGACGTCGTCATGACTATACTACTCGTGATACTGTTAATTCTCGCGATTCTGACGACGTATCACTTTTTCACGCGACGAAACCCGTTCAAGGCTCACGGTCTGGTTTGTAAAAATTCAGTTCCTATCTTTGGTAGCACGTGGAAGTCGGTGCTAGCCTTAGAATCGTTCGCTGATGTTATACAAACGATTTACAATTTAAACGACGACGCGAAGTATGTTGGATTCTATAATAGGATGACACCGATGTTGATGATCCGCGACCCAGATTTGATCAAGTCGATCGCGGTGACGAACTTCGATTACTTCCGGAACCACCGGAACTTCGGTGGCAAGTACATAGACAGCCTGCTCGCGAACAATTTGCTGTTATTGCGAGACGATAGATGGAAAGAGGTACGCGCGTTGATCACGCCAGCGTTCACGAGCAGCAAAATGAGATCTATGTTCAAACTAATGTCGGAAACCGCTGAGAACGTTGCAGAGTATTTGTCGAATCTCACGGCTGAACAACGAGTTGTGGAAATGAAGGATATCTTCACTAGATATACGAATGACGTTTTTGCAACGTGTGCCTTTGGCATCTCGGTTGATTCTTTGAAGGACCGCGAGAACAGGTTTTACACATTAGGGAGAGAGGCTCTGGACATTCACAGTATAATGATCTTGAAATTCGTGATGCTCAGAGTATTCCCAAGATTGTCGAAAAAATTGGGTGTTACGTTGTTCAGCAGGCAGGTGATGGATTTCTTCAGGGAACTCGTTTCCTCGAATATCAAGGCCAGAGAGGAGGAAGGCATAGTCAGGCCGGATTTCATTCAATTGATGATGGAAACCAGAAGCAAATTGGGGCCGGGTAGGGAATTAACTGTCGATGACATTACTGCCCAGGCGTTCTCTTTCTTTTTCGGCGGCTTCGAGACCACCTCGGGTCTGCTTTGTTTCGCTATACATGAACTGGCGGTGCATTCAGAAATCCAACAGAGACTTTGCGACGAGATCGACCATATACTCAGCGAGTCCAATTCGCAGGTGACTTTCGAACAATTGAACGGTTTGAAATTTCTCGATGCGGTGATCAATGAAACGCTGAGGATGTATCCCATCATACCGGTTACTGACAGGGAATGCACGAAACGGTTCGAATTACCACCGGCCTTGCCGGGTACGAAGCCGTACGTCATACTGGAAGACTCTCACGTGATGCTGCCCATCTATGCCATCCAACGGGATCCAAAATATTTTGAGAAGCCGAATACGTTCTATCCTGATCGATTCATGAATAAACAGAACAGTATTCTCAACTCCGGCGCTTATTTGCCTTTTGGTATCGGGCCAAGGAATTGTATAGGCAATCGGTTCGCATTGGTCGAAGCGAAAGTCGCGTTGTTTCATATCTTGGCCCGGTGCAGATTTGAAGTCTGTTCGAAAACGACAGTACCAATGGAACTGAAAAAGAGGAGCGTGTTTCTGACGGCGAAGAATGGATTCTGGTTGCGAGTCTCAAGTAGAAATTAATAAAACATGCTTCCTTTATTCTTGGACCTTTAGTTTAAAGACATCAGGTTAATTATAAATTTTACTCGAAGATATAGTTTATGTATGCAAACTTGTGTAACGTATGTATATCAGTTTCTAATAATGTTTATTTAATAAAATTTGAAGATTTTCAGAGTATATGACGCAACGATTTACGCCTACGTGTAAACTGGGCAAGCTACATTCTTTTCCCGTTGTATACCGACAGTCACTACGCAGTCCGCATCGCAGTAACATCGTTATCGTTGGTCGTGTCCTCGAACAGGCGTCACGAGGTTCAGTCTCTGATGAAGTTATACGCTAGTGAAAATTATTGAATACACAAAATCAATTATTATCTTTTGATGAAAAATTTGATAAAAAAAGGCAGATCAATTTTTAAATACAATTCTGATAAAATTGCGTAAATCGAGCGACCTCGGTCGTTATCTCGCAGTGTTTGTCGGGCAGTGAACAAGGAGTGTTATTTGATGGTGAGCAATCGTCGCAGGTAGACGCAATGATTTGGCCGATAATCGCAGCCGTGGCCGCCGTGCTTTTGGTGGTTTGGTATCGTCTGACGAGGATCTATAGTTTCTTCGATGAGAAAGGAATTCCGTGCTACAAACCGATCCCGATACTGGGCAGCATCTGGAAGGCAGTGCTCCAGCGGATTACCTTCGCCGAGGTCGTCCAAGAACTGTACAACTTGAATCCCAATGCCAAGTACGTGGGCTTCTTCGACTTCAGGACACCAATAATCGCAATCCGCGACCTAGATCTGCTGAAATCCGTGACGGTGAAGAATTTCGAACACTTCCCGGATCACAGGGCCTTCTTGAACGAGGACATAGACTTGTTGTTCGCTAAGAACTTGTTTGCCCTGTGCGGCGACCGATGGAAGGAAATGCGAATGCTGTTGAGCCCAGCTTTCACGTCGAGCAAAATGAAATCGATGTTCGTACTGATGCGCGAGTGTGCCGAGGAATACGGGAATTACCTGGCTTCCTTGAAGTCGGAGGAGACCACCATAGAACTCAAGGACACGTTCACCAGGTACACTAACGACGTAATCGCCACCTGCGTCTTTGGTGTCAGCGTGAACTCGATAAAAGATGTGACGAACAAATTCTACGTCTTCGGCAGAGAGGCCACCAATTTCGGAGGGCTGAAATCGCTGAAGTTCTTCATTATCAGAAGCGCACCGTGGCTGGCCAGGTTGCTGGGAATGAGACTGGTTAATATCGAGATCGCAGATTTTTTCAGAGAATTGGTATCCACCACGATAAAGACCAGGACCGAGAAGGGTATCGTTCGCCCAGATTTGATTCAACTGATGATGGAAAATAATAAAGACCCAGAAAAGGAGATGTCGATCAACGATATGACCGCTCAAGCGTTCATCTTCTTCTTCGGCGGATTCGAAACCACCTCCACGCTAATGTGTTTCGCCGCTTATGAAATTGGGGTCAACGAGGACGTTCAAAAGAGGTTGCAAGAGGAGATCGATCAAGTTTTGGAGAAGTGCAACGGCCAGATCACCTACGATGCCATTAACAACATGAAATATTTGGATGCGGTCATCTACGAGGCTCTTAGAATGTATCCCAGCATCACGGCCGTCGATAGGGTATGCGTAAAACCCTTTGAGTTACCACCAGCCATCCCAGGCGCGAAACCGCACGTCGTCCGTGAAGGAGATTTCCTGTGGATACCGATTTATGGCATCCAACGCGATCCTCGTTATTACCCGGAACCCGAGAAATTCAATCCTGATCGATTTTGCGATGATTCCAAGCAAATTCTTAACTCTGGTGCTTATCTCTCTTTTGGAATTGGACCCAGGCTGTGTATTGGTAACAGATTCGCACTGATGGAAACGAAAGTTCTCCTGTTCCATATTTTCGCTAAATGCAATTTGACACCCTGCTCGAAGACGACGATACCGATGAAACTTAGCAAGAAAGGCTTTTCCATGACCGCTGAGAATGGATTCTGGTTCAATGTTCAAAGGAGGAGCGTAAAGAACACCGAGAAAGTTTCACTCTTAGAATCGCCCATTATCTCTGGATAAACATTTATTTCCTATTAATGAGTAACATTTTTCTTGCCTATATGAAGAAATTCAAACAAAAATTCTTTTGCTTCAAAACTGAGATTTTGTACATTTTTCAGAAACCGTATTAATAATAGTTTTAGTATTTTAACGTCATACAAACATGGAAGAAATTAGTTCAACAACAATTCTGAGGTCAATCTTTATCTGTCAATCTTCATGAAATTATGTACCTATTTCAAGCAATTTAACTCGATTGTCCTACCGTGTAACACTTATCATTAAGTATTGTACTCTGTTTAAGGTGAAGAACATGTGTGCATGTGTGTTATATAATTGTGTCCAGTGGAATTAAAATTGTTCAGTAGACTATTGTGAACAAATATATGGGTGATTTTTTATGCTAATGTATTTCGTTTCGTAACGGTGTCTTTTTACTAACACGTTTTCTGCGGAAACGTAAATGCGTTTTATGTACATTATATACTAGAATTATTGCTATATTTTAAAATAGCACTGAATGTGATGATGTAATGTGACAGAATAAAATCCGTGTTTCAATGAACAATTTATTTAAAAAATATACTCTATTAATAAAAGAATTGTAAGGAGTGGCATATAACGCAAGTTAATTCACTTTGATAAGCTGAATTCTTTATACGCAATTCGCTGGTACGTTCTGCGCTCATGTACGAGAAGATTTATGACAGTCAACCTCTACACAAGTAGCTTCCCAGTACTGTGCAAATAATACTAATCTCGGTGGCCAGTTACGAGATTGTGAGCCTGTAAGCCTCGTGACTAATCTATCAGCTGTGGCAATACTAAACAGGTAGATATACTATAAAAAGTGTTCTGATCAGAAAAACTTATCCATTTGATAAAAACAAGATTAAAGTAACTTTATAAGACCAGTTCCAACATATTATTTAGTATATATGATCTCGTTTCTGATAATTACTTGACAAGTCATTATCGTGCAGTAGAGAGCAGAAAATACTCGCTATCGTAATTTGGCCAATAATTGGCTGTATTTGCAATAATTTATGAACAATTGCACGAAGTTGCACTTAAGTTATCGCATTATAAAAATAGTGAAAAAGTTGGAATTTCGTACTTACTATTAAAATTGTATTCTGGGATAGAAATACAAGACTATGAACTTCTCAATCAAGCGTTTAGTTTGTTTTATAAAGTGACTTTGTAAGTTCCTTCATTATCTAGGTGTATAGTGAATAAATTTACCATAATAAGTATCTCTTAATAAGAGATGGTGAAGAAAACGTGACATTAAAAATGAAGTATAAATTTAGTCATTTAAATCAGCCAGCAAGTGTTAATTTTTTAAGAAATTACAACTCTGTATGATTTTTTACGTAGATAAACAATTACACGTATTTAAAATTCCTTTTCCATTGAATGTTATTCCAGCAAATAAAGAAGAAAATGAGGCAGAATGTGGGTTTAACTCGTAAAGTTTCCGGTCAAATAATGGACCCGTGTTGCGCATCCATCTCAATCATCACGGTTGAGTCTGAACGTGTCCGTTTCGTCTGCAAAACGACGAGGCGTCGCCTTACACACGTACACGTGTATAATAGTCGTATAATATATTCCGGTACGTGATTGGCCAGTGACGAAGACGCGGTACGACCTTGTGAATGTTACTTTGATGAGCGAGTTCCGTGCGTGTTGATGTCTGGGTGCATCCAGACGTTCCGCGGACGGGTTGATACAACCGTGCCGTTTGTGTAGCACACAGAGATATATGGACGCGTGTGCGTCACTGACCTAGAAACTGGGATGTGGTTTTAAATTTTACGTGGGAGTGACCGGTTCTCGAGGTTGCGTCATAAAAATGCCTATCGTGAATTAGAATACGAACATAGTCTCAGTCTTTAATTTACTTCAGAATATCCGAATGTAATAAAGCTAAAACGTACGAAGTTTATTTTGAAATCGGTCTGTGTTAACACATTAATTATACGTGACGACAATGCTGAGACGACAATAAACAGCGTAATGAAGACTAGGGATTAGATTAGGAAGTTTATACATATGCACGTAACAATCTGCTCGGAGATTATCGTGCAACTTCCGCCGAGGCAACAATGACATTTAAAAGGAGTCCCCTTTCCGATTCAAGAAGCCTTGGCTGAAAACGTCTGGCAGGTTGACTCGATAAAACTACCCCCGCCTTAGCTCTAATGTAATTCACTCTTCGATTGTGGTAAAGGCGTACACACTAGACCAGAGGGCTCGAGGGCCGGGGGTTAGGCAATCGAACCAATAACGCAGCCGGCTTTTGGTCAGAATTAATGAACTGGAGATCGTAAGGGTGGATTCGTGCAGTGTATTGTCTTGTCGTATTAATGGAAGAAGGTGTGAAACGAGAAGGGCTAAAAGAGAAACGAATCTTATCCTTTTTCGAACCTTTCTTGAGATTTCAGACTATTCTCAGTTTTTTTAAGTTCAATGTTCGTCGTTTAGATCTATTATTTTCAAAACAATTTCAAGATGTGCATAATTAAAATACTGATTATGATTTTGAATAATTATTATCCTTTCTCTCTACTAAATCTAATAATGGTAATAGAATAATGATGACGTACATGTATGCTTGAAAATTATCTCTGGCAAACACGAATCACGTGAAGAAATATATATGTATATATACAGCTTCTGCAAATATCTTTTAACGTTGTAATCAATGTTTGTAACTGCTGTATGAATGGTTTATTAAATTTTCGAGTACATGTAATTAATGATAAAGTATATCTACTATTATAAGAAACTCACTAGTTCCTTATCATAAACAGAAGTAAACACTGATAAATACAACCAATTAGTAACAAATCATTTCGATTTCCCTTATCTTGAAATAATGACGTACAGTCTCAAGTATCATCAGCAATATTATAAAAATCCATTGATTCGATTGAACTAAAGAAATCAAATATTAATAAACATATTTAAAAGCTTATAGCTTATTTCACACACCGCCTTTATTTGGTCATTGGCTTAGCGAAAAGAGGATGAAGATTTTTTTGGGTCTCTAACTTCACCAAGAATTCAGTTTTAGTTACAGTAGTCAGAAATGATGTCTGAAGTTTTAATGACGAGTCGCCACACTACGTATGTATGTATTACGAGCAAACGAACCTTGTAAGTTATCAATGTGATTAATAACTGCCTCTAGTAAACATTAATCTAATCTCGCGAAAAGTTGTACATAATGATACTGCAAGTTACTACAAATAGTTTTTAACATCGCATTCAATTTTTGTATTTATTAAATAAATAGATGCTTAAATGGGATATGGACTTTTTAAATCAATAATAAAATGTATGTATTCTACTTAGGTATAATATAATATAATTAGATATAATATATAATATAATATAATCTATCGTGCTTGTAATGGTAATTGTAGTTGGTTTGGAATGAGTTTAGAAATAGGAATTAACGCGTATTCATTTACTTCAGTGGGCAAGCTAGTTGTGTCAGAAGGCTTTGCCCCTGCTCATGTGTTGACAGTACGACGTTCATACTGTCAACATCACATTCGTTTTACAATCGGCAAATTATCGCACATCGATCCAAAAATTAATTTCGTAAATTATAAAAGGGTTCCATGATCATTATTTCCTCACCTTTTAACCTTTCAGTCAGTGTTGGATATTTCTTAATCTGTTTTGATAGAAAGTAAAAGTTTAATGCGACAAAAGAATTGTTAAATATGCATCTTTTAAATTAGCTTGATAGCTGCTGAACTAAGGTTGATGGAATTTGATGGTACACGCGTACATACATATAGTAGACGTGCTGTAAGAAGTTATGTAGTATAAAGATTGTAAGAGGCTATAGATATATTTCTTAGCGACGGTTACGTTATTTAACGCTACATTGAACGAAACGTTGCTTGCTGCTCAGAATGCGTAAAACAATATTTGATTCCCGACTTTCGATCGTCTGATATTTATCACGATTAATGTCTAATACGCAGTATACTGGTATAGCAGTTAGGATGAAAAATAAAAAATGAAATTTTGTTTTTACGTGCTACGAAACACCTAAAACAAATAGTAGCCGCAACAGTAATAACAACAAGTATTATAGTTCATACACATATTATTTATAGTATAGACTTGAGTGCGTCATAAAAGTTTGATAGGCGTTTATTTGTCAATTGAACCTGAAGATATGTGAAGAGATGAACTTGCGATAGGAAAGGAAAGATAGTGTTCTCTCGCGCGTATGTAGTACTTCGTCATTCGTATTCCGCTATTAAATTGCAAAGCAAATATTGGCTACACGCAAATTGAATTTATCACTAATTAGCAACAATAAGGTATTTCTAATAATAAAAAAGTATGCAATCTATTGTTTTGAAAAATTGTATGTACTGTGAATGTCTACGATCAAACAACAGTCAAGAGCAAATAATAAAAATATTGTAATCTTAATACGAACGTGTAGGTTTTATTGATAGAAACTCTTGTTTCATCGGGACTATGAGAGTCTTATTTAATCAACGATTCAATCATGTTCGCTAAAGTGCTTCGCGCAACAAATGAAGATGTTGCAATGAATGATGTAGAATCCTCATGGACGATATTTTTATTTTAAAAAGGCGTATTATATTTAAAACAGTTGTAACAAGCATTTCATTCATACGCATCTACATATCAAGTTCATAGATATTAATGAATTATATTGTACAATTACCAGGATTACCAAAAACCAATTACCAATTACAAATTACCAGTTACCAAAAAAGAAGAGTTATTATTTCGCGCAAACTCCAGTCGACGTTCCGTTAACTGTTCCTTTCATTTTGAGAGAAGGATGAGGATTTTTTCTCGGTTCAAGCCTCATCCAGTACCCATTTTCTGATATTGTGTTGAAGAATCCCTTCTTCATTTGCAACGGCACCTGCGTCTTCGATCCAGCTTTTATGTCGCATTTAGCGAGGAGATAACAGAGCAGTACTTTCATCTTTATCATCGCGAAACGCGAACCGATGCACATTCTAGGTCCGGTTCCAAACGACAGAAACATACACGAATTCACGAGCTTCTTTCCATCTTCCATAAATCTTTCCGGCTCGAAATTCTCCGGGTTTTCATAATAATCCGGATTCATATGAATTGGCATCACCGGAATCCAAACAGTCATTCCTGGTTCAAGAGTGAAAGGCTTGCCGCCAGGTACTGCTGGTGGAAGCTCAAACTTTTCCACGCATACTCGGTCCAGATTGGCCAGGATCGGGTAGAATCTCATCGTCTCGGTGATCACTGCTTCCAAATACTTCATGTCGCGTACGACTTCATAAGTAAACTCGCCATTGGTCTTTTCTAATGCCTCGTCGATCTCTTGTTGCACTTTCACCTGAACTTCGGGATGTTCGATCAGCATCTGTGTCACCCAACACATTTGAGTGGATACGGTGTCCAGACCGCCGAAGAAGAAGACAAAAGCGTGCGCTGCCATATTTTCTATACTAAAATTGTTGTCCTTCTTTTGCTGTATCTCCATCATCTGCTGGAGGAAGTCGGGCCGGGAATTTCCGTGCTCCTTTCTGTTTTTCACCTCGTCGATCACAACATTAGTGAAGAACTTGGCGACGTGCGCCTCTAACAATTTTATGTTGAAGAATGCCGCGAACTTAGGTACATTTCTTTGCAACAAGAATATCAATGACCTCTTAAGGGTAGCAAAATTAGTTCCAATTCTACCGTAGACGTAAAATATGTTCTTCGGTTCCTTCACGGTGTCTATAGTGTACCCATACACGCAGCTGGCGATCACGTCGTTCGTGTACATGGTCAAAAGATCCTTCATCTCCATTTCGCGATCCTTTTCCGGCAGTTGGGCCAGCGTATCCGTGAATCTTGCCCCGTATGAAGACATCAAATGGAACATGTCCCTCAGCTTGCTAGAAGTGAACGAGGCGGTCAGCAGGTTCCTCTGGTGTTTCCAGTCGTCGCCCTTTATATTGAATAACATGTTAGCCATCAGGGGATCCGTTTCTTTGGTCACGAACGGCCGATGATCTTGAAAATGCTCGAAATTCTTGATGGTCACCGCTTTGATGAGATCCATGTCGCGCAACATGATTACTGGAGTGGTGAATTCGTAAAAGCCGACGTACTTCGCATCCGGTTCGTTGTCGTAGTGCTTCTGCAGCAGCTCGTGCATCGTGCATTTTTGAGCCACCACAGGGCCCATATTGCCAATGAAAGGCGCTGCTGGAATGTGCGGAATACCATGCTTCTCAAAGAAATCCGGTTTGTTGCTGATATAGTAATAAATGGCGATGGCTATTGCCACCAGCGCGAGGCCGACGGATAGATACATCTCGACGGCAAGATGTCCGCAATTAGTTTCGTAATAACGCTCTCCGTGTGTAGTTGATCGAGAACTGAACGTCTGTCTGATAACTGTCTTTATATATTTAGTACTATACGCCGCTTGGAATTGGAATCAGTTGTTTTTATCCCCCCTCCCTCTACATTTCAAAACAGCTGCATCATGTATCTCACTGCTGTTAATCATTATGCGTTTTCATATGAGCGGGGGCTGCAATCAGAACTCCAACACAGAGTTTCTGAGAGAAATCGTACGAGATCGACCATGTCCTCAGCGTGTCCATTTCGCGGGTGACTTTCGAACAATAGAACGGTTTGAAATTTTTCGATGCGGTCATCCATCAAACGCTGAGGATGTATACCATCATACCGGTTACTGATAGGAAATGCATAAAACGATCCGACTTACCACCGGCCTTGCCGGGTTCGAATCCTTACGTTCAAGAACACCGTCATGTAATGCTGCCCATTAATGCCATCAACGGGATCCAAAATACTTTGAAAAGCTGAATTTTTGTAAACTTTTGGAACTTTTTAAATCAATAATAAAATATATACAATCTATTTAGGTGTAGATCTTATCACAAACAGAAATAAATATCGATAATAGCACTAAAAATCTGTAATAATGCATATTTATTTTTTTATATTTTGAGACAATGAAATATACAATCAACTATCGTAGACATACTTATAAAAATCTACTGAGTCATACATTCACATACATAGTTAATGAGAACAAATACTGAGAATGCTGAGATACATAGTTAATGAGAACAAATACTGAAAAATGCAAAGAGTCAGAAAATTCTGGTCTGACTTCCCACTCTGATAAATTTCTTTCCATAACATACGAGGAAAATTCATATCTATCGTGCTTTTAATGGTAACCGTAATTCTGGATGAGTTTAAAAATAGAAATAAGCGCGTACTCATTTACGTTAGTGTCCATGCTACTTGCATTAGACGGCTTTGCCCTTGCTCATGTGTTAACAGTACGACGTTCACACTGTCAACATCATATTCGTTTTACAATCGCCAAATTACCGCACATCGTTACACAAAACAATTTTTCCCTAACAACATAACCCATTAGCCAGAGAGGGATGAGGATCTTTTCTGGGCTCTAACTTTACCCAGAACCCGTTTTTAGGCATTACGGCCGTGAAACCTTTCTTCAATTGCATCGGAATATTCGTTTTCGCTCCTGCTTTCACATCGAATCTGGCGAAAAGATAACAGAGCAGTACTTTCATTTTTATCATTGCGAACCGTGAACCGATACATATTCTAGGCCCGACGCCGAACGGCAAATATATATACGAGTTAAAGAGCTTCTTTCCATCCTCCATAAATCTGTCCGGATCGAACTTGTTTGGATTTTCATAATAATTAGGATCCTTGTGGATAGGCATAACCGGAACCCAAAGATTCATTCCCGGTTCCATCGTGAAGGGTTTACCACCAGGTAATGCTGGTGGAAGCTCGAATTTCTTTATACACACTCTGTCCAGAAACGAGACCAATGGGTAGAGCCTCATTGTTTCACAGATCACAGCATCCAAATACTTCATTCCGTGTATCACTTCGTACGTCACGCGGCCGTTGGTCCTCTCCAGTCCTTCGTCTATTTCCTTCCGCAGTCGCGCTTGAATATCTGGATACTCGACCATTAGATGAACCACGAAAGCGACCTGCGAGGACACGCTGTCAAGGCCGCCGAAGAAGAAGCTGAAAGCGTGGTAGGCCATGCTGTCCAGTGTGAAACTTCTCCCGCTTTCCTTCTTATTATTCGCGTCCATCATCAACTGGATCATGTCCGGCCTGTAGATACAATTTTTCTCTCTCTCTTTCACTGTGTCGGCGACTATATTCATGAAGAACTTCGTAATGTGCGATCTTATGAAGCTTATCTTAAACAGGCGTGCAACCTTGGGCGCGTTTCTGTGCAGCAACATCACCAATGTCTGTCTGAAACCGGTAAACGTGGTAGCGCACGTTCATAGTGTCCATATTGATACCGTATACGCAGCTGGCTATCACGTCGTTCGTGTACAACGTCAGCACGTTTTTCAACTCAATTTCTGGCTCTTTTTTCACTAATTTCGACAACGAGTCCGTGAAACGTATTGCGCATGCTGTCATCAGCTCGAACATGTTCTTCATCTTGCTGGACGTGAACATGGGGGACAGCATGCTTCTCTCATCCTTCCACTGGTCACCTTTCAGGGAGAACAGCATACCACCGAACAGCGGATCTAATTCGCTGTCCACAAACGAACGATGATCTTGAAAATACTCGAAACTCTTCGTAGTCACGGTCTTGATCAGCTCCATGTCGCGAAGTACTATTAACGGTGTGGAGAATTCGTAAAAACCGAAGTACTTCGCTTCTGAGAAAGTATCGTAGGGTTTTTGCAACAACTGATGCATGTCCTGTCGGTGAAAAATAAGAGACCCCATATTTCCAAACACTGGCGTTGGCGGAATATGCGGTATTCCATGTTTCTCGAAAAAAACTGGCTTTTTCCCAAAGTAATAGCAAAGGCCAATAATTATTGCCGCCGTCGAGAAAATAATGGACAGGTACACTATCATGGTTCGAACTGTTTGCTAACGAGTTTCTTTTGACACGATGTTCACTGTACCTATTCGTTGAGAGAACTAAGTCAAACTCATAAACTGCAATGCTTACATATGGTTGGAAATACTACGTATTACCGTCACGCCAGCAGATTGGCTCTCATCAGTTGATTTCAGCTCCGTATCTATTATATGTCTACATGTATTACTCTGGCTCACAATTTTTTTTATATTTTTTCATCATGATTTAATGTGAAAACAGCCGACTAATATCGATCCAAAAATTAATTTCGTCAATTATAAAAGGGTTCCATGATCAATATTTTCTCACCTTTTAACCCTTCAGTCAGTGTTAGATATTTCTTAATCTATTTTGATAGGAAATAAAAGTTTAATGCGACAAAAGAATTGTTAAATATGCATCTATTAAATTTGCTTGATAGCTGCTGAACTAAGGTTGATGGAATTTAATGGTAAACGCGTTCATACATATGTATAGTAGACATGCCGTAAGAAGTTATGTAGCATAAAGATTGTGAGAGGCTATAGATATATTTCTTAGCGACGGTTATGTTATTTAACGCTACATTGAACGAAACGTTGCTTGCTGTTCAGAATGTGTAAAACAACATTTGATTCCCGACTTTCAATCGCCTGATATTTATCATGATTAACGTCTACTACGCAGTATGCCGGTAAAACAGTTAGGATGATAAATAAAAAATGAAATTTTGTTGTTACGCGCTACGAAACCTCTAAAACAAATAGTAGCCGCAACAGTAATAACAAGAAATATTATAGTGTGGGAATGTGAGGATGCATGAGTGTAAGGATGTGTGTGGCCACGTGTCGTCAGGCGGCGCGTGGAGGACCCGCGGAGGTCAACGGAAGCGGATTATCGGCAACCATCCGAGCGGAGTCGACATTGTTTAAACAATGTTTCGAGTTCCGCGGATGGTGTCGATGATCAAGGGCTGCCGCGAGCCGTTGGGACTCCACGCGTCCGGTTGGCAGCAGCGGTGGTGGTGTGATAGGACGATTGACGAATGTGTGAAGAATGTGTGAGGAGTGTGTGGAGGGTGGTGTGGCTGAGAGACGCGAGCGAGTTGGGACAGTTGTGAGCTGCGAGCCGAGCGAATAAGATCGAATAAAGTTTTACCAAGTTAACCCAAATCGAGCATAATTCTGATTTATCCCCTGCCGTGGAAAGGTCACTTAAACCCTCCTTTCCCATAATTGGGGGATCGTCCGGGATACAATCGGAATTTTTGCTTGATCTGTGAGTCGCGAGTATTCTGTGAGTAATAAATAGTGTGTCTCGAGTATTCTGTGAGTAATAAATAGTGTGTCGCGAGAAGAGACTGAGAAATTCGAAATGGCATCGAGGTTCGACGAATTTACGGTGCCACAATTGAAAGAGAAGCTGCGGGATCTGGGGCTAGCGACTACGGGTAGAAGAGCGGAGTTGTTAGCTCGCATGCAGGAGTTTGATCCGTCAGGCGCTTGGGCAGCGGATATGCCAGCGCAGGGGGAGACAAATATTACTCAGCCTTTCGATGAACCTGCTGATGTGTCGGCCGCCCAGCAGGCACAACGGTCGGCGAGTGATTCGAGAGAAATGGAGCTGTGTCGCCGTGAGAAAGATTTAATGGAGCGCGAGTTAATGCTGGTACGAAGAGAGTTGGAGATGGTGAGAGGCATGCAAGGGTTGCAAGCGTCGGAGCCTGCATATCAGCGCGCGCGTGAGGGGGAGCCGCGAGTTAACGTAAACGCAATCGCAGAGCTGCTGAGTGTGTTCCGTGGTGATGCCACGGAATTTGAGAATTGGGAAAAACAACTGAGACTGTTGAAGAATACGTATCGTTTGGAGGAACAATACGTAAAGGTGCTCCTTGGAATGCGACTGAAGGGGAGAGCATTAGAGTGGATGCATTCGCGGCCGGAACACATAGAGATGTCCGTCGAAGCGCTGTTGACGGAAATGAGGGGCATGTTTAGCCATCGTCCCAGCAAGGCTGCGTTGCGT